CCCAACTGGCTTTCATGCCTAAGACGGGACTAGAACTCCCAGTCTCCTAGTGAATGGCCCAAAGTCACCCAGCCAGTTTTCATACCTGAGGCAGTGCTAAAACTCTCTGGTGATTGGCCCAAAGTCACCCAACTGGCTTTCACGCCTGAGGTGGGACTAGAACTCCCAGTCTCCTGGTGATTGGCCCAAAGTCACCTAGCCTCTGCCTATGCCCAGGCAGGATTAGAATTCACTGTCTCCTGGTTTCTAGACCAACACCTTAACCTCTACACCAAACTGGCTCTCATGTCAAAAGCAAGCCCCCCGGGTCAATAGCCCTGGGCCCCACCCTGTAAATGTTTGGCATCCTATTGGCCAAAGTCAAAACTCCTCTATTACCATAAAATCATGATTAACTGTTAAAATTGTGATTAAAGGGGTTTATTTTTTTAAATTATCTAAAACACTATTTTTCAACCTTGGCCACTTTAAGACTACAACTCCCAGAATTCCCCAGCTAGCCAAGGTTGAGAATCACTGACCTGAACTGCTACTGAGGTTAAGGATGGACTAACCAGGTTATTAATTAACCAACTTGGCCTATCTCTGAATTAGAGATCCCTATTAACCCTTCCCCAATATTTATCTTACGCACTTCCTTCAAAATCAATATCCAAATTAAATGTCCATCACCAGTCCGTGAACATTTATAATGTTTTCTCTTGGCAAAAAAAAAAAAAAAAAAAAAAAATCAGCATTTTTAACAGGTCGTAATCCTCAACTTACGACTGTAATTGGGGACCAGAATTTCCTCCCGACGGCAGTGGTGAGGTGATGAGCCAAGCGGCGGTTAAACGACTCGCCCCTGATTTCATAACCTTTATTGCTACCATTCTTCAGCAAATCACCACAGATCGTCATTATGTGAACCTGCAACCATCATCAACGCATGTCGGTTGCCAAATGCTTGGATTATGTTCATGTGACTGTGGGGGGGAATGCTGTGAGGGTCATAAATGTGAGGACCGGCTGTAAATGTGAGGACTGGCTGTAAGTGCAAGGACATGCCGTAATTGAGAGGACCACCTGTAAGTGCAAGGACCGGGTGTTGTACATGTGAGGACTCTGTTGTAAGTGTGAGGACTGGCTGTAAGTGTAAGGACCTGGTGTTGTACATACAAGGACTGACTGTTGTACATGTGAGGACTGGCTGTTGTAAGTGTGAGGACTGGTTGTAAGTGAGAGGATTGGCTGTAAGTGCAAGGACCTAGTATTGTACATGAGAGGACTGGCTGTTGTAAGTGTGAGGACTGGCTGTAAGTGCAAGGACCAGGTGTTGTACATGTGAGGACTGGCTGTTGTAAGTGTGAGGACTGGCTGTAAGTGTAAGGACTGGCTGTAAGTGCAAGGACTTATTGTTGTACATGAGAGGACTGGCTGTTGTAAGTGAGAGGACTGGCTGTAAGTGCAGGGACTGGCTGTTTTACATGCGAGGACTGGCTGTTGTAAGTATGAAGACCAGATGTAAGTGTGAGGACTGGCCATAAGCATGAGGACCGGATGTAAGTGTGAGGACCTGTCGTAAGTCAAGGATTGGTCGTAAGTGTGAGGACCAGCCCCAAGTCACTTCTTTTCCGGTGCTGCTGCAACTTCGAACGGTCGCATAAACGGACAGTCGTAAGTCGAGGACTACCTGTAACTCCGTTCGAAAAGAAACCACCCCCCCTTCGAATCGTCCGGCAAGGAGCCCAGGCAAGAATTGAGAATCTCAGGAGGATTTCACGGTGTTTATTAAAGGATGTGGGGGGTCAGCCCCGGCAAGCTATTGAGGGGGAAGGGAGGGGGTTCAGGCCAAGATCAGGGAGGGCAGAGAAGGGGGGACTTTGGGGGGAGGGGGTGACCGATGCCCGCGGTGCCAGCTGGCGTCCTGAGTCGCTACTTGGAGGCCTGGAGCCGCAGAGGATGGAGGCAGCTCCCCCCGTTCGTTTGATCTCTTTTTTTTTCCCCCACCCGAAGGGATCGAGGGTGGGTTTCCGAAGGGACTGGAGGCTGGAAGACGGAGGTGTGAGGACAGAGAAACAGGCACCTGGGAGAGGGAGAGAGAGTGGGGCAGATAGAGGGAGAGATGGAGATAGTGATAGAGAGATAGAGGGAGAGGGAGGAAGAGGGAGAAGGAGGGAGAGATGGAGATAGTGAGAAATAGAGGGAGAGGGAAAGGGAGAGAGAGGGAGATAGACAGAGTTAGAGGAAGAGAGGGAGATAGAGGAAGAAGGAGAAATAGAGGGAGGGAGAGGGGAGATAGATGGAGAGTGAT